GATTAAAGATAATTCAAATCTTTGCATTTTGAAGTTGCCAAGTTGGTGTCGACAATTGAAGAAGTCCACACTATCAATGTAACACCCCGTATCCTCATTTAAAAATTGATAAGACTCTATTCATGAGAAGAAAGGTTATTTGACATAAGTCTAAGTGTCAGAGAACGGTGATAGGTAAAATAAATATTTTATGAATAAAATATTATTAAAATATTAATATTTTATTTATTAGTGCTATTAGTTAAATGAAAAAAAGAAGAATATGAAAGAAAAACGAGGTTAGATATACTCACGTGTCTTTATTAAATGGAGCACAAGCGGGTAAGTATATATTTACATACTATGGTGACACGTTGATGGGGTGCAAACCTTATATTATTTATACACATTTCAAGGAAGGAAATAGAAAAAAATTAGAATTTAAGAAGTGATGGGAGGACTTAATAAAAAAGGATGAGAACTTAAGAGGGTTAAATGGTAATTTTACTATTTAGATTAGTCAAAGCTTACAAAAGAAGCTTTGACTTTTGTTTTTCTTTTTCTCTCTCTCCATGGCCGGTCAACATGTGAGAGCTTGTTGGGAATTGTGCACAAAAAAAGAAAGGAAAGGATGGGAGAAGGAAAAAGGAAAGAGACAAGAGATTTTACTACTTGTTGACTGAGTGAAAATATTTGAATTTTTCTCTTGACTTTTCTTTCCTTTCCATTCCATTTGGCTGACCAAGTGGTGCCAACTTTTATTATTTTTCTTCTTATCCCATTGATATTCTAGCACCTTCCTCCTCCATCCTTTTATGCATTTTTTTTCCTTTTTTTCTTTCAAATTGTCACTTTTCTTCCTTGTGCATTTCTTTCAGCTGTGGCTTCACCTCTATAGGCAATCATGCATCAAGTCTTCCCTTCCATCTTCTTTCATGCTTCTTTCTTTTCTCCTTCCTTCTCATGAGTTGTCTTCCCTTTTTCCTCCCCCATAATCAAACCTAAGGAGAGTTTGGTGGTTTGGCTTAAAAATCTCAAGGTAAGGAATGGGGAAATTGTTAATTTGGTAGAATTCATGCAAAGATTTAGGAATTTTCTTTGGTAAACATTGTTATATTTGAAAGTCTTACACTGGATTTTATCAGGTACTACGTGAACATTTTGATAATGATTTTTGAAATGAATTTTGAGGACCCAACTATATTTTAAAATGGTTTCATTAAACTGGGAGATTTGAGAGTAGGACGATTGTCACTCCGGTTAAGTGTGATCCTTGTGCACAAGTGAGCTCTAGCTAGAGAATCTTTGGGTTGCTGAAAGGCTATTAGACATGGCTGGGGCCAGGGTCTATGATTTTATGTGGCTTAGCCACAAGTTGTTATTCGCAATTACGACTACCTAATTTTCTCTGATATCGGCCAACATCGTTGAGACTGCCATGGCATGTGGGATTCAGTAGAGCGGAGCTCCTGGATGTTATTATGTGGAAACAGGTCCACATGCTTTTATTGCTATACCTATTTGAGAGTGATATCTCTTTGGGTTTTTGACGTAGGTAATTTTCACAACATGAAAAATAATAGTTTTCCGCTGCTCCCTTGCTTATATGTTGAAATTTGATTTAATTCTTTATGTACGAGGTGAATTATGAATTGCGCGTAAGCTTTGTAAAATGTTGGATTTTATGGGAGCAGGCATGATAACATTTAATTACTTTAAACCCGATGTTAAGTGATTTAAATGATAGGAATTTTTCCATGACTTTGGTTGATATTTTATTTAAATGATTATTTAGCATAAATTTATTTATTTTAATATAAGGCACAAACCTCCGTTTTTGAGTAAATTGTTTACATATATTCTTACAATTTTAATATTCAAATCTTCTACGTTTAGTTTATTTTCCATCTACGTCCTACTCACGGAGTTGATGATTAATGAGTTTCTGAGACTCACCCCTCCTTGTTTTCTTTTGCAGATAAGTAATCAGTTCTAGTGCTTTGTTCAGCATCTTAAGGCTGGCTACAACATCTTTAAACTTCCACTCAGAGTTGCTCCGCTGCTTAGAGGTCGGTTTGTGTCAACTAGTCAAGCTTGTAATGAATAATAGTACTGAAAATGTACTGGCTAGAGCTTAAGGTTATGTAATGGCTACTACATATTATGTTGAATTCGTATGGAATTATAAAACCTGGTTATTAGTTTCTAGAAACCACATTTTAAATATTGTGATTATTTGGTTTAAATGAACTATGGCTTTAAAATTGTAATTTGAGTTTAAATTGCCTAGAGGTTTAACTAAGGCTTGTTTAGGATTTGGTAGGTTTACTCGCAAGTCCCGAACGCCGGTAGCGATCGAGGGAAGAGGTCGTTACAATCAATTGCAAGTGAATTAAAGAAGACTTATTGCTTAAATCTATTGCTTACAATTGGCCTAATCAATGGCAAATTCTTGATGCATTAAAGTGCTTGGATATTAATTCCTCCTTAATAAGAGCTTAAATTGCAAATAAAAAAGAGTCTGTTAAGCCAAAAATTCTTTAAAGGATAGCTTAGGCAAAAATTAGGCTATATAGAAAAAGAAAGAGCATTGAGTTGAAAATCTTTAAAATAATGACTTCGGTAAAAGTTAGGACCTAAAAAAAAATTACTCTACGACTTGATCCTTCATATTAGGAGGTACCTAGGTAGCTTGTTCTCATTGTCAAGTTTAGTCAACCTAAAAAAAAAGATGAAAAAGTCTCTATGATTAAAGATAATTCAAATATTTTTGATGTTGAAATTGCAAAGTCGACGTTGATAATTGAAGAAGTTTAAACTATCAAATCACAAGTAAGGCCAAGAAAACTTATTTCTACTTGGTCTTATCGCCTAGTTGAGTCAACCCAAAAAACAAAAATCTCTTC